CCCTACCACCCCCTAGCTCCCCCTCAGACCCTGCAACCCCCAGCCCTGAGCCCCCTCCCACACCCTAACTCCCCCTCAGACCCTGCACCCTCACACTCCTGCCCTGAGTCCCCTCGTGCACCCAGGAATGGGCTAAGAGGGTGCTTGGTTCTGCCGTGAGGGCAGGGGCCTGGACTTGATGCCCCCCCACTCCCCGAGGTCCCTTCCAGTTCTGGCGTTCAGTGAGTATGATTCATTTCCCTGCCTCAACCCACAACCCTCTCCCACACACTGATACTCTCACCACATGGCCTATTTATCCCTCCTTCCTGGTTTCTTCCAAGCTGGCTAGAGTCACGTGGCCAGTGGCCAGGTGTGTCTTTGGCCTCCAGAGATCCATTGTTCCCTGGAGACTTGCTCATTGGCATGTCCATAGGCTGAGCATTCTTCATCTATTCTCAGCCCCAGAGAAATAGTCAGTATCCACACAAAATACCTGCTTACAACTTCACACACAGACATTATATGATTACACGAATAGCATATAGAGAATCAGTATAAAGTAAGCTTTTCTTTGACACCTCACATGCCTCCCTCCTCTCCCCCCCCCCCCCCCGGGTGCAGCAGTGACCTGGCTGCACCCCTCAAAATCCAATAACATGACAGGAGGCACATGCCATCTATGCTAGGTATAATCACATGGATGCTCCTCTCCCGTCCATGCTGATCTGCTCTCAGCGGGGTCTCCCACTTTGTCTGGCGTCCTGGCGCTGGAGCACAGCTCCCTGCTGCCTATGAACATGAGGGCTGGAGTGGGAGCTCTCCCTGCAAGCTGTCTGTAAGAAAACAAAGGGGCAATATGTGGGTCTCGAGGTGGGGAGCGTTCAGCTGCATCTGCATCTGGGTGCGGGTTGGGTTTCTAACACCCGTGGAGTTGGCAGGGCCTGTTATGGCTGGAAGAAACCAAGCCCAAACGAGTGTTCTGAACTGCCCGGCCCCGCCGCAGGGGGCCCACGCCTGTACACAGAGTCTGACTCCTCGCCTTACACCCACTTGAGCTGCTCTCCTGGGGGGAAGACGGATGGTCCAGAGGTTCTGAGACTGGAGAGACCAGGCTTCGCTTTTCTGCTCGCTATCACAGATTCCCCATGGGACCTGGGGCAAGTTCCTTAGGCCCTGAAACTCCTAGATATTTAGGTGCCTCGCTCCCATTGGCTCAGTGCCCATACCTCTGAAACCCGAGGCTAACAGCATTTCCCGAGCTGGAAGCATAAAGGCATTAAAGACTGCAAGCTGCTCAAATCCAATCGCAATGGGGGCTGTAGGTAGATTTACCCCCACGAGAGGAGAGTCAGGCAGCTGGACTTTGGTCTGCTGATCCAAGGGTCCTCTGTGTCCGATAGCAGGGCACATCGCAGTTTGGCAGCAAGCTGAGGACGCATCTGCTGCCCATTTTCTTCTGGGCGAGGCATTTCAGAGACATGTTTCCAGTTTTCCTCCTGACGTCCCTTTCCAAATTCTCTCGGTTTCCTTCACCGTGACCCGAGTCACCCCCCGGAAGGTGAGCTGAGAATCCAACTGAGCCCGGGCTTTGGAGCGGTTAAAGGGGCAGTTGCTATATAAAGCTCATCTCTGCCTTTTAGCTACGTCCTGTCTCGTAGTTAATGACACTGCAGCCAGCCTGGTACAAGTCAGGTTTAATTTTTACCTTCTTGTTGCCTGTAGCGAGATTTGACATTGCTCAGTTCCCATGCATTAGGCCAGTGCTGTGATGTTCCTCATGTTGCAGGGGCCCGGTGTAGTCCAGCGAATAAGGCAGCCAGCTTGGCTAAATCTAATCCCCGCTTTCCCTCTGGCTCAGTGTGGCCCCAAGTCCCATAAACATCCGCTACCTCAGTTTCCCCATCTGCATAATGAGACGCTGTCTACTTGTAGAGCACTTAGAGACCCTTGGCTAGAATATCCTCTGTGAATATTATTAGAGGATTGATCACAGGAGTCTTCAGTCCTGCCGCAAAGCTCGTTCTGTGACCATAAACACGGCACTTAACATCGCCTTGCCTCAGTTTCCCCATCTGGTTTAAAACAAAAGGGAAAAGGGTGTCCTGAAGATCAGCCAGTGTGTGAAGTGCTAAATATTCTCCCTGGGGGGAGGTTTGTGTGGGTGCGTCTTTCAAAAGCAGAACCACTCTGGTTTTCTCCTGGCCCTTCTCCCCGGTCCCCCTCTCGCGGGCGTTACTCCTGCTTCAAGCGGGGGGTGACGGGGCTTTGGCGAGGGGGCTCTGCACTGCAATGACACGTTGGAACTGAGCAGGGGGCAGTGACTGACTTGGCTGAAGGCCCAACGGGAAGTTACACAGTAACTGTCTGCTCTGAGCTCCTGTGTAGCCCAGGCCGGAGACCCTCTGCCAGGGACTTGCTTGTGGTCCAACTGGAGGGAGCACACGTCCTAGAGAGACCTCCAGTCCCAATGGGAACCCGCCCAAGTGATAGAGAATCCATCACCTGCCTTGAGAATTTGCTTCCCGTGCTCCCTTGGCCCTTTCTCCTGATAAGCAGACAAGTTTCCTGAAATAATAAAGCCGTTTCCTCTGGGTGACCTTTCACTTTTCTCAGGGCAGGGCCTGCTGGCTTTGCAAGGGCCGTTCTGGCTGCGAGCCAGCTCCCC